CAATTTGATTTCTATCATATACCGAGTGGGGATTTTGCTTGGGAATTTTCGATTCATACTAATGTAAAATCCTGTTGATAAGCATTCGGGAAATTCGAATATCGACAGGACTATATAATTTGTTTAATTACTATTACGACAACGTCTTCAATTCTGTTGCCACACAACAATACGCATTTCAATTGCAATGTCCATCGAGCTAAAGAGTCTGATGTGTATAGGAGATTTCCTTATTTTTTTTATCTTGCTAGCTGTACTAATTATTCTCGTAAACAACTAATCGACATACCATATATAATGTACATATGTATATTGCAGTGATACCTTGCATTCATTGTCTACCGCTATCTCAGCTATTTTTGCCTGTAGATATTTACGACCTTAATGAACTTTCGTGATCGCATAAAAGTGTCGTGCGCGCAGTTCGCACATACAAATATATGCACAATATCTAACAGTTTAATAGCAATATCAATGTGGACAGTAGTGTATAGTAGCTTATTATAATTTTCGTGCTGCACTTCACGAAGTAAAGGCGAGGTGAGAGATAAGTAAGTCGGGTCCATTTATAGTAGCTAGTGATTTATCGGCCGCGGAACTTAAGATGTCGTTAATCGTCTTGCATCCATCGTGCGTGTCATGTACCACTCCCCACACGCTACCTACATATATACATACAGGCGTGCATTTATACGTACGTGCACGATGCGCCCGTGCGCACGTATATGCACATACCCTCTTCCCTTGTAGCCAGACCGATACGAGGCACATTCGCAGTTCGATCGTCCGATTGATTTAAAGCCGTAGTAATCGGCCAGCCGAAAAGTCGTTGCGCTCTCTGTGTACGTGCTTGGCGATATTTTCGTGTTTATGTACAATCACGAGCGAACGTTAAAAACCTTTCCCGTTTCAGCGGCTCTTACATATATTTTCTCTCCGTATACGCTCTGTTACTAGAAGAGCCAGGGACGCTGGGACAGCCGACGATCCCTTCAACCGGGGGCTATTTGAGCCGACGTACCTCTCGCTTATATATCATATTGCCACATTAACCACGTCGGTTCAGCTCGTACTTCACGACTACTCTGGTAGCCCGAAAAGTGATCTTAACGTTTATCAGAGAGTGGCATGTGATACTTGCTACTATTTCTCCCCTCTGCACATTCCTCTCTTTTTGCTATTAACTCTTTCGGTGAAGAATCTCTGACTTTTAATTTAACACACTTATATTAATACAATAATAATTAAGCTGAATGTTACTCATTAATAGTTAAACAACGTTCGTATGATCTGATATGAGTCAGCAACAAATCTGTGAAGAACTTTTCAAATGCATTGCTGCAGTTATGCAATCGGAGGCTATTTTTCTCGCTTCGCATGTTCGATAAATTCTGCCGTACCCTGATTGAACCGGACTGATTCGAATGCGCCGTCTGTTTGAATTTATCGACGTATTCGTTTCAGTTGATAGCATATCAATTAGTACAAGACTTTATTTGTAAGCGGCGAACATCTCTGTTGTGATGCGGCTCCCGTTGAGAAATGTTCAAGTTCGTCCGCTGAACAGCAGGGTGCCTTTGCAAACACTTTCGTTTCTCAGGGTAGCCCTTTGTAAGCAATTCAAACAAAATTGCTTATTCTTTTTAACTGCGTAACGACGTGTTTACAGTTTTATTAATGCTCTCGTTTCTTTGCCACGTTACATATCTCTAATTAATTGCTTTACAAAATTATTTT